GACCCAAAAAGGGACCATAATTTTTGTCAACCACCCATGTGGTTCTTCCGCGCGCGCCACGAGCAAGGCTAGGAAGACCGACGTTTGCCGCCACTGCGGCAAGAAGGGCCACTACTTGGAGGTTCATGGGTAGTCAAAAGTGGGGTTATAAGTAGGGTGACTATAGTTATAACCCATATTAGGGGACTTACAACCCCACTTATGACTACCCATGAACCTCCAAGTAGGCCCGGGACTGCTGGCTGAAGCAGAGCGCGGTGGTTGCCACGAGGCCAAGCCCTGTGCAACTGATGTCCAGGATCCTTTGCCACCAATGGAGTTTTGCTCCTCTGCATTGTGCAGAATGGCTGATGGGCTAAGCCCTAAACCCTAAACCCTAAACCCTTAAACCCTTAAACCCTAAACCATAAACCCTAAACCCAAAGCTGTTGCCGATGTTCAGCCGGGCCGCGGGAGAGATGCTTCTTCTCCACACGAGTTGGCAGGAGTTTGATGGCCTTGGGGCGCCCTGTCCGAGCGAGTGCTTTCAGCACTCTTGCTCTGGCTGGCGATCCTAAACCCTAAACCCTAAAACCTTAAACCCTAAACCTGCCGCTTGTCGAATGCAACGCAGCAGGATCCCAAAGGCGTTGCTGCAGTCCTACTACTACTACTACTACTACTACTACTACTACTACGTACTTGGAGCTTCATGGGTAGTTGTCAGTGGGGTTCTAAGTCCCCTAATATGGGTTATAACTATAGTCACCCTACTTATAACCCCACTTTTGACTACCCATGAACCTCCAAGTAGAGAAGTTTGGCGAAGACCCGACAGAAACCCTCAAGATCCTTCTGTCACACCAGCCCCCTGCATTCTACTATTATGGGATTTGGGCCTTAATTATTAGAGTAGGGTTAAGGGTACATTGTACGATAACCCATGATGAACACCGAACCTAAACCCCTAAACCCCTAACCCCTAAACCCTAAACCTCTATATCCCATGATGAACACGGAACCTAAACCCTACACCCCTAACCCCTAAACCCTAAACAGTAACCCCCTATATCCCATGAGGAACACCGAACCGAAAGTTGAGATGAATCTCCGCCGGAAGTCGTCGCACAACACTGCGGCCTTTGGGGTTGATGTCGTGCTGGAAGCGAGAGTTGACGCAAAGTTTAGGGCTTCGGGTTTTGGGTTCTGGGTTCTGGGTTCAGGGTCCATGGCTTTGGGTTTAGGCTTCAGGGTTTAGGGTTTAGGGTCTAGGGTTTAGGAACGGAAACGAGCACTGTCCAGGGGATTCACCTGCTCTTCGAAGATTGGTGGATGGTGCTTGGGGTGATGCAATCCCTCTCGGCCAACAGCGGAGCTTGAAGCTTCGCCACCGGTTTTCATCGCAAGCCCGAACGCTGAAATCCCTCAACCAACCCTAAAACCCTAAACCCGAGACCCTACATCCTAAACCCTAGACCCTCAAACCCTGAAACCTAAACCCTAAAACCCCCAAACCCTAAACCTTAAAACTCCTAAACCCTAAACCCTAAACCCTAAAACCTAAACCCTAGACCCTCAAACCCTAAACCCTAAACCCTGAGAGAGTCTCAGAGGTTCCCTCCGACGCCTCCTGCAAGCCTCACGGCTGCAGCGGCCGCCGCAGCGGCAGCCGCCTTCGCTAAAGAGCAGGCGGTCGTGGGTTTGGGGATAGAGGGTTTAGGGTTTGGGGATAGAGGGTTTAGGGTTTGGCGATAGAGGGTTTAGGGTTTGGCGATAGAGGGTTTAGAGTTTGGGGATAGAGGGTTTAGGGTTTATAGGGCTTATAGGGTTTAGGGTTTGGGGATAGAGGGTTTGGGGTTTTGGGGTTTCGGGGTCTAGGGCTTTAAGGGTTTAGGGTTTTGGGGTTTAGGGTTTAGGGTTTATAGGGCTTATAGGGTTTAGGGTTTGGGGATGGATGGTTTGGGGTTTATCCTGCTTGTTTTCCAATTCTAGATTCGATGGTGATTACGGGTTTTGATAGGGCATGTCTGAGGGTTAGGGTCGAATGTCGGTTTGGGAGAGTTAGCATCCACATACGGTGCAGCAGCTTTTCTTTATGTGCATGGCTGGTTGGGGCTAAGCACAATTTTCGGAAACTCTCCGCTCAAAACTTTCTGAGTGCTCGTTATCGGGGTTTTTGTGTCAGCAGCCGCAAGTTTCATCTGGTCGCGGAGCATGAAAGGATTTTTGTGTCTAGGCAACGTTCAGGGTCGCGTGGATGAAGGCTTTGGTTTACGGTTTCAAAGAGGTTTCAGGGTTTTGGGTTGCGCACCCCCGGTTCCTCCAATCCCCGAACTGGAAAGTTGAATTTGAAATAGTGCTAGTGGCCTACCTGGACCGTCCAATGCAGTTCTGCTGGATATCTTAGAGTTCTCGGAATAAGAAAACAGAACTACATTAGAGGGTTTGGGCGGGCCCGTAGTTCTGAGACGTCTAGGAAAACTAAGGGTCCATGTGCCCATATGGGGGTTTCCGAGAATAGGGGACCCTGATGTAGTACCCTAAATAATAGGATCCTCAGTATAAGGACCCCAAAATAAGGTACCCCTTGTTTCCGGAAACTCCCATATTGTGTACTTTGGCCCTACAAAAACGGGCACATTTGGTCCATGACTAAGCCCGGACCCCAGTCGCCCAGCTAGCCTGTAACAAGGATTGTAATAGAGGATGGGACCTGTAGGGTTTAGGGTTTAGGGTGTAACAGACGATGGGACCGTGGGACCTTCTTCGGACCTTCTTCGCACAACTTAGGAGCACCTGATACATGAGGTTTTGGGTTAGTAGGTTTTATAGGGCTTGGTGATTTATGTGCAATGTATGTACGATATGTAAGCCTGATATTCATGAGGCCTGAAGGCAGATAGCTAGATTCAGCTAGATAGCTGGAACCCACAGAGGAAGCCATACTGAAGCTCTGAACCCGAAGCTAAGTTAGAAAGTCCTCACGATTGATGCAACAAGCCTAAACCCTACACCCTAAATCAAAACCAATCCGTTGTTCTAAAAGTTACACAGGTAGATACAGGTAGTAGTGCTGACAATTCGCGTTCTGGGCCAGGGCACCCGCCGCACTTCCAAGAAGGAGAGCGCCAACCAAATTCCTGAGGCAGGCATTTTGTTCAGTGATTAGTGTTTAAAGGGTTTTCTGAGGGTTGAAGGTTCAGGGTAGGGTTACGGCTTGCGAGGCTTAGGGCTCAACAAATATAAGTCTGATGCCTTGACAAGATCTCCGCGAGGGATAAAGTACCTCCAGATCACGTGCACCCAAACCCAAAACCCTAAACCCAAAACCCTAAATCCTAAACCCTAAACCCTAAACCAAAAACCCAAAACCCAAGGCCTAAACCCCAAACGCTAAACCCTGAAACCCTAAACCCTAAACCCTGAACCGGGCTTTCGGGTGAGCAGTTTTCGGGGCCTAGGCCTGGTCAATGAAGTCCGGTTCAGGGTTTCGGGTTTAGGGCTTTAGGGTTTTGGGCTTAGGGTTAAGGGTTTAGGGTTTTAGGGTTTAAGCCCTAGGGTTTTAGGGTTTCGGGTTTAGGGCTTTTAGGGTTTTTAGGGTTTAGGGGTTAGGGTTTTAGGGTTTCGGGTTTAGGGCTTATAAGGTTTTAGGGTTCAGGGTTTAGAATGAAGAACTTAGGGTTTTAGAGTTCAGGGTTTAGAATGAAGAACTTAGGGTTTTTAGGGTTCAGGGTTTAGAATGAAGAACTTAGGGTTAGGGTTCAGGGTTTAGAACTTACGGTTTTAGGGTTTCGGGTTCAGGGTTTTGGGGTTGTAGGGTTCAGGGTTCAGAGTGAAGACCTTTATGTTTCTGTACGTCTTGGACAATATCTACGGTTGGCTGTCCGGCGAAGTGGATTCGCAAGCCGCTTTAGTCATGCATGTATGCGTTCCCATGTCGCAACCTCAAGAGGCCTCTAAGCCCTCAAACCCTGAACCCTCAAATGCTAAACCCTCAAAGCCTAAACCCGAAACCCTTAACCCTAAGCTTCCAGTGTCGTTTGGGGTTTTGCAAATCGAATTGCGGGTTTGATGTAATCATTCATGCACGACGCCGATAGGGTCATACCCTACTTTTTTCAGGGCATCTACATTTCTCGTAGAACAGATCGTAACTAACTACAGAACTAGCTACCCCAAAACAGGTGTAGGTTATGACCCTCCAGGTAGCCCAGGTCTCTAAACTGGGAGAATCCTTCCAGCAAAGCCATGAGTTTTAGCAGTTTTTTGCAGAGCCCCTTGTCGAGAACCTCCTTACAGGAACCCTCATGGGACCCCTTGACGTACATCCCTCTCGACAAGCTGCCTCCGCACCCTAAACCCTAAACCCTATAATAGAGAAGCCTAAACCATTGCCAATATTCTTGTTAGGGTTGCTTATGATCAATATACTATGAGGGAGCCCAAAACCCTATTCTAAATATTAAGGCCTCTACACCCTAAACCCTTATAGTAGCCCTTATAGTATCCCTTAAAGGAACCCCTTAAAAGGAACCCCAAAACCCTATTCTAATTATTAAGGCCTCTACATTAAACCCTAAACCCCTAACCCCTAAACCCTAAACCCTAAACCCTAAACCCTATTCTGATTATTAAGGCCTCTACATTAAACCCTAATCCCCTAAACCCTAAACCCTAAACCCTATTCTAGTTATTAAGGCCTCTACATTAAACCCTAATTAAACCCCTAAACCCAAAACCCTAAACCCTAAACCCTAAACACTATTCTAACTATTAAGGCCTCTACATTAAACCCCCGCCGCAGATCAAGAAGAAGAAGGCTCCAGATGTAAAGAAAGGCACGGCCGGGAGACCTTTGGAAATCTTAGGTTTTTGCGGTTTCTTTCAGTGTCCATGTACCTGGGTAGTTTAGGGGTTTGGGTTTAGGGTTTAGGTTTAGGGGTTTAGGGGTTTATTAGGGTTGTCCGCCAAGTAATATGCTAATTCTGCAGCACTTGCAGCTAGGATTAGTGGGGTTCTGAGGGGCGCGTGCTTATCGAAACGAGATGCGTAATACGCATCTATAGGGAAGTAGCAGTTCAAGCAGATGTTGTCAGAAGGTTGCTATACGGCGTTTGAGGCTTATGCCAAAGCGATGGCTTTCAATGGTTCCAGGGCTTGTTGCACGCGATCTTTCAGCTTTTGAGGGTGTTGATGGTTGTGTAGGGTCCCGACAAGTTTACAAAAGGGCGCTACACAAGTAGGTAAGCTCTACCCAAGAAGAGTCTAACCTATGCTCAAAATTCCCCCCACCACCACAACATACTTCGGAGGCCTGCAATGTATGCAAGACAGGGTTTAGGAGCTATGGGTGTAGGGTTTAGGGGTTTAGGGTTCAGGGTCTAGGGGTTCAGGGTTCAGGGCTTTAGGGTTTAGGGTTTAGGGTTTAGGGGTGTGCCGCAAAATCGCCCATGGTTTAGCACAGGCCTAAACAATCAGACGAGGATTATTGAGCGCTTTATGCTGCAGATAGGGTAGGGAAGGGACGACTTCATAAAGGGGCCTTATAATAATTACCTATACTATTTTGGGGTTCCTTATCATAATTATAGTATGATGTATCCCAAAGCCCTATTTCAATTATGAAGGCCCCTACATTACAAGGTTCTAGAGTGTTCTGGAGGAGTAATGTCAGCAGTTTCACATTGTCGTAACCCTAAACCCCATGTAAACCCTGAACCCAAAAAAGCCCTAGAACCAGCCCGAGAAACCCTAAACCACAATACCCTAAACCCCCAAACCCTTGCACAAACCCTTTTTCAATCCCCTACACCCTAAACCCTAAACCCCGAAAACACCCTTCTATAAGCCCCTAGTCCCTGAACCCATATACCGCCCTATACCCTAAACCCTAAATCCCGATAACCCCTTGAACAAACCCTATAGCCTACACCCTAGATCTCTTGCTGGAGGGTGCAATGTAGGGGCCCGAATAATTAACAACACTATTTTGGTGTTCTTTATTTTAATTATACTAATATGTACCAACTTATTAAGGCCCCTATATTAGCTTTTTGGCAGGGCAGGAAAGCACCATGGGAGGTCTACATCCCATTGAAAGGTAGGCCCCTATAACCCTAAACCCTAAAACCCTAAACCCTAAATCATAAACCCTAAACCCTAAACCTACAACCCTAAACCCTAAGACCCTAAACCCCTAAACCTAAAATCCTAAAACCTTAAAACCCTTAAACCCTAAACCCCTAAAGCCCTAAACCCTAAACCCCAAACCCTAAAACCCTAAAGCCCTAAAACCCTAAGCTTAAAACCCTAAAACCCTAAAACCCTAAAGCCCTAAAGCCCTAAAGCCCTAAAACCTAAAACCC